GGGGGGGGGTGTGGATGGGGCTCAGCAGGCCACTGGTGCATAGCAGCAGAGTGGGGACGTAATTTAGGGGAACACTGGACTGGGCATTTTAAGGTGCCTGGGGGCACCATCACAGTAAGCAGCGACGGTCCTGATTCTGGAGGGAGTGGCATTTAGAAACGGCTGTTGGTAAACTCTTGACAAACTGTCACATCTGAGATTAGGGGACAGGTGGATTGGTGCCACTTCTTGTGATGTTGGTCGGAGTCACACGGTGGTGTTGCAGCAGTGGCAGGAAACATCCTGTGTCCAGTCAAAGCTTTGTCCCCCCCATGCCCCCAGACAACCACGCCCCATCAGAGCTGATCTGTCTGCCACAAGACCAGCTATAGTGGAAAGACCGGTAATTTGACCTGAGGGGACATACTAAATGCTCGGAACACGAGACACACGCACACTGGCCTGTAACAGGACCCTGTAAGTACCAGGCTCTCAGCGATGGAAGTGAGCGTGCCCTGTAAGCAAATCTGTTCTTGTCGTTTACTTATTGCTCGATTAAAGTTGGTTAAACAGGTGGATCCAGTGAGTCTGGCAGCTTAGTCACCCGACACAGCCCCTGGCCCCATTCAGAGCCGTAATGGAGCTCCGGAGCAAGGAGATAAAGCTGAATGAAACGCCGATAGGGCCCCTTAGCCAACAAAGAGCTCAGGCACAAAACAAAGTAAATACTCCCCGATTAGGATCTGCTCCTCTCATTTACAGAGCATCAACGGAGTGAGGGTTCTCCGGTACACCGACCCACTTATTGTGATTGTGGTGGGAACTCGCTGGCACTCTGTGGGCAGCGGCAGGTCACACACGGCTCTCACCGACATACTGCTCCACGTCCCTGACAGAGAAGGAGGGGGGTGGCAGCTCGAGTCCCAGGCCATCCAGTTTGGCCACCGCAATGGGGTACTGGAACCCATGCTTCTCCAGGTACTGCTGCGTCACCTGGTGCCCCTGCATCTTGTCCAGGATCTCGTCGGCACTGAGACACGGGCAGCCAGACAGGAGGGATGATGAGGGGGGAAAGATAGCACTGATATTCATGACGCATTTTTAAGCAACAGTGATACTTATGTTCACATTTTATCCTCTGTTCTCTTTGACCTGAGTGCGGAGAACAATGGCGAGAGTGTGCTGGCCTCTCATTGGCCGAGGGACATCACATGACGTCATGTGACTTATTACAAAAATACTTGTCTATTCAGGCATCAATAAACTGAATGGATCCTTTGCAGGAAGAGTAAGCCTGGAAGCCTTTTAAGGTAGCATCAGCCTCACTGTCGGAAGGCATGGTAGACGCCATCGAGAGGCGCTGCATGTACCGCCCAGGCATCCGTCACCTACCTGGGAAAGGTTCGAGCCTGCAGCTGTCGCACGAACACGCAGGTGCCAGCCTGTACTGGCTTGGTACCGTCGTCGGGTTCCGTGTAGTCATGCCGGTGCCAGTTATTCCGCTTCTTCACTGAGAACGGAGGGAGAGAACAGAGGGGTTGGACCTAAGCCATTTAAAAATAAGGTCTGGGTTCTATGACATTTACTCGCTTAGAATGATCGTCCCATGAATTAACATGGAGTTTACGCTGCAGATTACTCCCAGCCTGGTTCAGAAGCTCATAAAAGCCACCCCACCTTCCCAAGAAGGACAGAACCCAACCTAAATGTGATGTTTAAGCTACAATTATATTAACCTACTAATGAGCCTGCAGTACTTACTCAGGGAGGGTCCGTGTACAACATCACAGTTGGGGCAGTGGTAAACATCGATGTCCGCTGCATGGTGCTCCTCTACTTGGACACAACTGAAGGGGACACAGATGGCAGAGTAGATATGAGGAGACTAATGGAGGAGATATGCTACACAGAGGTGGGAAGTCGGAGCCGGGAATGATGTCACACTTCAGTTAACTGTGTTCCAGTACAACTAGTCGGTCTGAAAGCCATTCAGCAAAACAACTTCTAGCCAGGTTCATAATTGGCCATTGTCAGCAATACCAGTCGATAGCAATGCATTACATGGTATTTTGCGCACACAAAGACTTTAGCAATGTGTCCACAGATAAAGGATGGACAGCACTGTGCGTACGAACGATTTAATAAGACACAAATAAGACAGAAGTGCTAATAGACAGTATATAAGTACGGCTTTCACTTCTCTTTATGAAGGGCGCAGCCATCATGAATTCTGAGGTGGAGGTTGCAGAAGTTCCTCCGACTTTCCGAGTCAAAACTCCGACTTTCAACTGGTACGGCAGTTGAAATTTCTGACTTGGAATTTGGAAAATCCGACTTCTGAGGTAAAAACGCAATGCATCAATAGTATGCTTCACAATAAGAAAACGGCCTACAGGGATCATGGCAACCAGCAGGACATCGGAGGCATGGGAAATGTGCGACGAGAAGCAAAGGACCCCAGTGTCTCTTCTCCCAACATCAGCAACACACACACACACACACACACACACACACTTTTTTCGATACACAAACGAAGACTAACAACGTGACAACTGTATCAAGCACAGAGTGCTGCCGTAACCATCCCTTCACCTGCACACCTGTCCACAGGCTTCCAGAAACCACAACGCCTGCACCTCACTGGCAAATGGTTGCACAAAAGTGAGTGCCACTCCTATGCAGGAAACTGCATGACAGGTTGGATGAGACTGCATGACAGGTTGGATGAGACTGCATGACAGATTGCAAGAAACTGACATTTAGCGTGCCTTATACGCAGCTTAAGTATAAAGAATTCTAGCGCGCAGTGCCCTATACATCAAGTCTTCCCCTAATTCCATAATGCTGCACTCTTAATGCTTTCACTCTAAGTGCATCCACTCCTGTGCGTTTTCGGAGGGATCTGCATTTATGTACCTCTGATGACAGCTGAGGAATGAGCAAGGTCCATGGCAAAGAGAGAGAGGGCTTCAATTACAAGGCTGCTAATCCTGCACAATCACACATTCCAGCAGAGCACACATGTGCTAAAAACCTAAAATTTGTGTAGCAAAGTCTAAAGGCACTTTAATAGACAGTTGGCAGAGTGAGAGTCTAAACGGGACGAAACCAGGAGCGGATCTGCTGAGAAAGGCGATCAGCAGACGTGACAAGCGTCCCGTGAGTAAGATTGACGCTGGGGAGTGTCATTAGTCCTGCCACAGCTGGGGAGGGGGGGGGGTGTTTATCCATGAAGTGCTGAGAGAAGCCGTTGTGTTGACCAGAAGCAAAGGCGTCCGGATTAAAGGCCCTGCCTCTCCGCCCCCAGCCAGTAGGGGTGGGGGGGAAGGGCAATGCTATGGTTTACACAGCAGGAGCAACTTTCAGAAAAACAGCCCCATTCTTTTTCCTCAAGGAACTCCCAGGAGGAGGTGCTGAGGAATCTATTGCCCGTTACCGGCTTTGATCTTAGCATAATTGCAGGAAATAGCTGGGAGACCGTAAACAAAACAAAGCAATTAACTCATTGGGGAATACTCTGCACTCTGTGTGACAGACAGCGCAGACAGACCCTCCGGAAAGCAGTCTGCAGTCGGTGCTGTCCCAGTCCTCGATGCCACAGCGCCATTGTGCTGGTTAGTCAGCACAGGATGATGAAAACACACGTCGTATTTGGCTCACACGGAGCCTGGTTACACGGAAGTGTCCGGAACAGACAGCACTCCCCGCCTTCTCACGCTGAGCTAATTATCTCGCCGCCGAGACTGTCATACGGATGCGCGGAGCTCATACGACACAGTCTGCCAATGGCACCTTCCAGGTGCCTGGGCTGCATGCCCATTAATAATAACTCTCTTACTAAGATACGGGCTGAAAAGTGTACAGGAAATGAGCCACTGGTCAGAACAATTATGTCACAATGGCTGTGTGCATAGGCGGATAAAACCCAGAGCAAGCCGCTTACAGACGACCGGGCTGGACAGTAAAACGAGGCAGCATACGAGGATAAAGGAAGGCAGGGCTTTGAGTCTCAGGAATAGTTAATGAGTTTAAAACCACCACCTGAACAGGAAAGCGAGCCCATTTGCCCCCGGCATGGGGGGTGGGGGGCGGCTTTCACCAAAAGGGTGAATGATGGGGCCCCATCAGCATTTAAACCTCCTTCCATACCCCCCCGTCATGCCCCATACAGAACACATTCAGTGCACGTTCTCTACCTCACGTCGTCTAGAATAGACCCCCCCTCATGTGCGCTGCTGGACGTGCCCCGGTGAAGCTCCCCGATAGCTTCTACGCCACCGCGCTGCAGCCAGGTTACTCTGCTCGCAATTCCACAGCTAAACGGAGAGGTGGAAGTCGACAAAAAAAACCCACCATACTATGCATGCACACATTTAAATGATATGCAGATTTAACTGGATTGTATACAGTGTATGGGGGCACAGGATTTATATAACAGCTTTATGTGGCAGCCACAGGAAGCTAAATGTAAAAGCAGGAGAATCTGTGGGAGGCTTATGGCTCCTATTCAAGCAGAGCAGATCGCGCCAAACGGAGAACGGCGTCCCAAAGAGAGCCGCCCCTCCCCCCACAGATGAACTGAAGTCTCTCTGTGCCTCTCACTCCAGGGGTCTCAGCTGGTCTCCCCACCGACACGTTTATTTTTAGACCATCTTTCTGTTGAGGAGTTACTCCGGGCACGAACACCCCGCTGCAGGAGTCAATGACGTCTGTTTGGGTCTGGGGGGGCTCAGTAGCATTGCATGTGTATTGCATTCTCCTGCAGGCCTCAGACAGAGTATTGCACTCCGATTGCACCTCAGAGGGAGAGACCTTCCCAGCATAAGCGGGATAAGCCTCGCTTTGCCAACATCCACATCTGAGCTCAGAATATTGAAACTGCGTCAGAAAAAAAATATATATCTGCTTTCTCCTTGCTTGTTAGAGAGGATAAGCCCAAAGCCCACTGCCCCATTGTTCTCAGATTTGAGGCAGAAGGATGAGCTTCTCCACCCAGGATAACAAAATAACAGGAAGACATGTCTCGATCGTCTTGGCCTCTGGCATCTCCAGGCAGTAAGAGGCTTAATTCTCAGGAATGACAGACTGACTGTGTCTGAAAGTCCCACGTGCAGGGGAGAGAGAGGAAGGCGGACTGCCAGGAGGCAAACACACGAGGACTAAAAGCGGCCCTTTTCCAGACAAGGGAAGGCTGACTAGCTGGGGGGGGCGGCGGTGGATTCTCTCTTCACATAACCCACCGGCACATTGAGCTCGCTCTCCTGTGTCTGTCCTTTCAGACTTGCTATCTGCCTTAAGTGGGGCTATTCATTAATCAGCGGGCCTGTAAAGGAGCATTGTGGTGGAACAGGAATGGCAGAGGCAAACGATGTGACTGCCGGAGGGGGGTGCGGGACATATTTGTCCATTAAGAAATCCTCAGGACCAAAGATGGGAGCCTGAACATTTCTGATGACCTTAAAGATACTTTGGCAGTGTCACAGTAAGGCACATACCCCCCCCCCGAGCAGTGCGTCCGAGCTGCTTGGCACGCACTGCCGTAAACATGACGCACCCGTAGGTCAGTGGGACCCCTACGAGACAGGCCCACGGTTAACCGAAGGCGAGTAGACAATAAAGCCAGCGCTGTGGCAACTGTAGGAACGACAGTGGAGGCGATAAACCGCCCCCATCCAATTTCCCACCCACGTTTTGCCATCTACATCCACCAGAGCTGCACTCCATTCCAAAAAAAAAAAAGACGCAAAACATTCCCCATTAGCACAGATGCCATTTGCTCAATTGTTACTGTGTAACTTCAGGTGTCAGGTCCATTGGTACCATGTTATGTTCTCGTCGCTCTCGTCCTCAGAGCCACTGCCTGCAGTTTTAGGCGCCGATGAACTGAGCGAATGAGTCTTATCTCATAAAGCAAACAAGGCGCAAAGCCTTGCAGAGCTTAGAGAGGTTTCAGACCATCTACACGACAACCACTCTTAAGGTGCCCATAATAGTCCAATATAATTCAAAAGTACAACCAAAGCAGCAATTCGAGATGACAGCAACAAAACCACAAGCTTGGCAGAGGATTCTCCGTATGGATGGCATTTCACGCCACAAAAGGTCAGAATACACAGAGCTGTAAAAACAAAGGGGCAATAATCCAAAAGCTGACGCTATTGCTTCACAGTTCACATTCTGGCGTAAAACGTTTCAAAAGACTAAACACGTTTTCTGTGCTGATCATATAAAAACAAACGGGCTGCTTGGGAGACAGCGCAATGGGCTGATGTTTCATGAGACTGTTCAACAGCATCGCAAATCCAAAACATTCACATTCACAGCAAACACAAAACACCTGATGGAAAAATGAAACTGGTCAAAACCAGATATCCCCAAAGATGAAGGTCCATGACAAACTGGCCTCAACTGAAAATAGAAACTGAGAATGCAAGCATTCCCAGTCTGCTTTTCAGGCACACACAGGACCAAGAAAACATGAATGCGTGTCAGTGACCCTCAACATGTCTATTTTAAAAGCCTGTGATGACAGACTGCCAAGAGGGTCACTTCTCATGGGCCAGCAGAAGCCTGGAAGCACATGGCTGAGCAGCAATGGGAGTACGGCTTCCTGTCCCCCCTCCCCCCCACCTCCACCATCTAAGCAGCTTGCGGTGGTCAAACACTTGAGAAGAGGAAGAGGAAATGTGCCCCTCTCCACCCCCAGAGGAGGAAATCACACAGCCCTCTGCTGTGCCCACGGCCCTCAAAGCCCATGACTGTCTGTCCTCACAGCGTCAGCTTCCTGGTACAGCATCTATCAAGTAAGAATGACTTGCCTGGATCCCCATGCTAATGTCAGGGCAAA